CAAAACGACTCTTTTGAATTTACAGTGTATAAACACCGAGCTTTCGGGAATTTAATGTACAGATTAATAAATATAATATTACGAATTATGAGTAAGATTTAAAGCAAATGCCGGATTTAAAGCTTTCGACGATAATTTGACGGAGTATTTTCATACAATTTTCTTATTCTTCTAAGGCATATATAGAACAACATTGACTTCGACATTGTATTTATAAGAAAGTACTAATTTCTGATATGATATATTTTTCTCGGCCGATTCTATGTCAATGCCTAGTGACAATCAGGCGAAAACGCCTTTGAACATGCAATACCCCACAGTCACGTTAGAAACATATACTGTATCAGATATCTGAGAGTTAAAGCGTACTTTTCTTGCGACGCTTAATAGACTATTATAGGGTGGATTTCCACCTGCAGAGAAGTAGTTCCGGTAGAAATATTGCCGGTAACCTTTTGAATCACATACGCTGTGAGCATGTGACGTTATAATGTTAACATTTTTGTTTGAATTACGGTAACTATTACTTTGCATGATTCTATACTCTTTCAATTTATACATTTAATGCCCTAACAAATTATACCATGCACGTATGTTATGCTATTAAAAGTACGATCGGTACACACACCGAGCTTTCGGAATACATTGTACATATTAATAAATATAATACTACGAATTATGAATAAGATTTAAGAAAATGCCGGATTTATTTATACTGTATCAGATATCTGAACATACTGTACAGATACTGTATCAGCGTACTTCAGAACAGTCATGTTCAACTAATTTATGCATTTAAAATATTTCGCTGGCGAACCATTTCTCTGTAAGGGGAAATCCAGCCTTAGAGGATCCGTTTTTGGAGAAGCGAAGTCACTTCTGCTTGGCTTCAATTTCATTTCATGTAAGTGCAACTCAAGCTTTTTGGCATTCAGTCAACGACACAGGCAACAACATATTTCCACTAAATGCCGCATGTGACGTTTCCTCTCAGTTCATTCAGGGTGTGTACGATATCGTGTTTTTTCCCCGAATTTATATAATATGGCTATATATATGTGAAATAATATATTAATTAATATATATGACTTTGATAATACAGACCAATATTGCCAGTGTGAGATATGGCAGACTGCATACGTGCGTTTGGGTTGAATCTCTTTTGGGTTTATTTGAAAATGTTAAATGCCGGAGAAAGTCGAAGAGTAAAAGAGAATAAGAAATACGAAACTTGAAAAGTGCTCAAATTGTTCCCTCTTTTTTACCCTCATCTTCAGGAAACGATTTTTGTACGGGATCTTTCGCTTTCGTGAAGACTAGGTTAGGTGCATTATATTGAAATACATATACTTAAATTAAGGACAAGTTGAGCTTTTTAATATGAAACGATAGGACAAGCGAATTTGGCGTTTTGCTATCACTAATCGAGTGACAAACAACTCATGTTTGAGGTACTATTGTTGTAGAAGCTAAGGTTCACTTTTTTTTAATTTACCTTTTTTAGCCCCAATATTTCTGCTGTGAATCTTTTCAAGTAAGGGCCATCGTCGACATCGGAAATGTCTTACCTACAAGAAACGTTTGAAGAACGCTGTCACACCACAGGGGCACCAAGTCACCTTTCGTTTTTCACCGCATCAATATCGATTCTACTTTTAGTTACAAATATCCCTGGGAACCTCCTTCTAATCCTTGCTGTAGCCTTTGATCCTCATAAAAACCTCCGGAGCCCGTTTAACTATCTCATGTCAAATCTAGCCGTCGCTGACCTCATAGTTGGTTTAGTGACTGGACCGTTGTCAGTCAACTATCATATTAAGGAAGGTCTGTATGGGCGGCTATCTATTGGGGAAATCAGACTGTTTCATATGAGTTACTTTGTGTCATGCACGGCGAGTATTCTGAGCCTGGCGTCACTAGCAACCGAACGATACCTCGCTATGAGAAATCCCCACAACTATCGCAACAAGTTAACCCGAAAGAGAATCCTCATGACCGTCATTTTAATATGGCTCGTATCCTTCACACTACCTTTCATATATTTTGAAGTGGGGTCTATAACTTGTGCATTTATACTGGCAAACACTACAGTCTTTCTAGCTCTCGGTATCCGATGTGTTTCACTTACGGTCTGATGATATACAAATTCAAAACCTATAAAACTCGTATCCAGAGCGCGCAGAAGGCAAAAAAGAAAAATAATGATCTGTGTTGCGTGGTCAGTAAAGATCACCAGGACAACAGTAGGCATGGCGACAAGACGAATAAACATAACGTCATCAGTAAGGCCAACGACTGTCGCCGTGACAAAACGGTTCGCATGGAAACCAAAGTCACAAAAATGTTTCTGGTTGTCATGGCAGCAGTGCTTGGCTGCTATGGTCCTTCCGCCATATTTATTTACACGATGAGTTTTTGCGAAACATGCAGCTGCGAGGCTTTCCATTGGTTTAGAGATTTGCAGTTCTTGTTTGTGCTTCTCAATTCGTCTGTGAATTTCTTTTGCTTGGTTAAGGTCGCGAAGTTTCGGAAGGCGTTTGCAACAATCTTGAGGTTACCAATTTGCAGGAAATTCCATGACTATGTCAACTCCGTCTTCAGAAAATCGAGTTCCAAAAAGCCTAAAGATCAAAAGTGCTTTCTGATGTTTAAACATTTATTTACGATTATCAAATCATAATTATCACGATAAATAAGCACAAGCAGACCGTTCCCCAGTCTTCCTTAGCTCACTTCACTAACGAGTTATATTCAATTAAAAAATGTAAATAGATATAAACAGCCATCTCTTCTTATGTTAGGGCTTATCTTAACTGACACTGTTGTTGAAACTCCTCGGTCTAGTAAACTATGTCTATAGCTATCTATCTTGAAATATTTAACTCGTAATCTTTTCTAAAATATTTTGCAGCTTTTTATGCATGTTTTTCTTACGTTAACTGTATGAGGCTACAAAGTAAACATAAAATAGAGGTAAATTATCGAATAAACTTTGACTGAATATTATAGTTCTAATTGTAGCTTGTCGATACTGATAGGACATTCCTAATGCAGCAAGTTTGATTAAGTACATAAACTGGCAAGCAGCGTACCGGTATCTCAGTATGTTCCATGTACCATGAACAACATACCGAAGCAAACGCCAGAAGCTGTTCTTGACCTGCGATTACCAAGCATGTCTTTTTTATAAACAAATCTTTAAGATAATTCAAAAGCTTTTCTTTTATTAAAAAAAAGCATGTCCATTACTGCATTACTGGGTTTCTATATCATCACCATTCATTAAACTTCGTCAGCAGATCATAAAAGAATGCACTTTTCAACACTTTCTAGCTTGCTCATTAAGCCGATTCTCCATTAACGTCCGCTTCACCCGCGCGGGCGAAGCGGCTTTTGAAAATCTGTCCATGCGACCGTGACGGGTCTGAAAAACAAAGCGCGCTTCGCCCGCGCGGGCGGAGCGGAGGCAATGGAGAATCGCCTTTAGACAAATTAAAACTCGCAGCACACAGGCATGGATATGTCCTAAATGAGATATGAATTTCAAAATAATTTGGTGATAAATGTATATTTAAACAAGAAACAAATAAATTAAAGTGCTCCGCCTGTGAACTTAAATTTAAAGCGAGGAGTTTTAATTAAAAAGTTGATCTCGTTTCGAAAAGTGGGTATGTGGACAAAAGATATCTGTATTGAAGCGGCTGAACGATAAAGCCGACAGAGAAAGGTAAAATCATGTTTAAGATTTGAGGATCTTATTGATTCCCCTGTTTCCCCGTTCACCCTTTATACGCAGTTTCATCTGGCTTTAAAGTGAGAAGAGAATGGAATGTTAATGAAAAGCGAAGATTAGTAATCTAGATATCTTAACAAAAACTCGAAATTCCAACCGCATGAAAGGAACTTTATCACTGTAAGAAATATCATCGTCTATACAATATAGAATCACGAATGTTTACTATTAGTATCACTGAAGTTCGATGTTTGAAGTATACTTAAAGAGTTTAGTTTGATTTTTATACGTCGACACAGCTGGTGATACTTTCCTGTGATTAATGTTTGTGAGGTCGCTTTTATATGAAGTCGGGTTATTTGAGGTGACATGCATGGATGACATTACAATTTTTTTAGAACTGACCCAGATACTTTGAAGAAAGGCTTTCTAAATATTCTATTCGATATAAAACAGTATGCAATAGACTGCCGGACAACATTCTCTACTATTTTCATGATGCTATTGCCAGATTCCTTCTGGGGAGCATTCAAAAATGAGTATCTCCAAGAGAAGTTCGAAACCATCTGTCAAATTCACGGAGCACAAACAGCGCTTTCATTCTTTTCAACTGCGATGTCTATTATCTTTTTTATCCCAATCATTCCTGGAAATGTCCTATTGATCCTATATAGCAGCGGTTATAGATCCTTCACCTTCATTGTCCCTCCAACAAGTCTTATCGTAGGAGTGGTAACATTACACAACGAGTTTCTGCGAGTCGTGCAGTTGCAATGCATTTCATTGGTTCAAGGATCTACAGTTTCTATTTATAATAAAATTAAATTAAAGTCGCTTGATAATGCGATATAATCTGTCAAATAAATGTTTTTTATAATGATCGAGGCGGAAGGTGGAAACCGCCTAAATGAAAGCTAGATTTTAGGGATTCGATCTCCTGGTTTAGATGTCTTTGACAACCCAGTTACTTAAAGGATACACCCTCCGGATAAAAGTTCAAACCGCAGGTCTTTCTTAACAAGATCCGAAGATCTGTCTTGGGCTGTAAGAACAAGTAAGGTTACCAGCTTAAGTAACAAAAGCTTAAGATTTAATTCTTCATTGCTCCCTAACGATTTTATGATTTTAACCCTCCAAGTGATGAGAATACTTCGGTTGAGGAGGTCTCAAATGAAAGATACCTTCAAGCAATTTAGATACTAACGGATGAGCCCCAACTTTATTCGATTCGGGTAAAACTGCCGACAACACTGATCGATATAGACATAAATGGTTCTATACCCCTTCCCCTCTTTAAACTGATCTTTGAGAATTTCCAAAATCATATTTAAAGACACTGATCCGGGATTGATTTTCCGCGGAGCTCACCAGCTAACCCACTTATTCCAGGCTGAGGCATAGGCACTGGTCGTATTTCTTCTCCATGCCGCAAGCAGAATTTTTCTAGTTTCCTCTGAAATGTCTTGTGCCAGATCTCGTAACATATATATTCCCTCGATTTTGAAATGCTCGTACAGAAGATACTGATTTAAAGTGTTACTGCAACGAAATTTTTGACCCCATTTTTATTAGCCTAAGCAAATATTCAGCCTTTTAGCAACAATTTGATGTATATAATTTATGACTTTGGTGTGTTAAGTAGAAGTTGACTAATTTTGTCCCCAAACGTCGGTATCAAATGCGAACTTTTATAGCCGCCATGTTTGCTGCATGTGACGTCATAACGAGTACCGATGTTTCGAAGCTTATGGTAATATACAGGGTGTATAAAAAAAAAGATAATCCAACTTTGGCGCACTATTATACGTGAACTACTCATTCTATTAACGAATTTTTTCACATCCCTAAAGGTTAGGCTTTTAACTATCGAATGACATGTGTTTGGCACTGCTACTTTAAACGCAAGTCTAACGGGAATTTCTTTAATATTTATTTAAACAAAATGGTCGAGAAATTTATTCGAACATTATTATAAATACATGATAAATCGATATCATATACTTTTTATAATGCATGCACAATACAAGAGGAAAAAAAAAAATTAGAGAATAAAATAAACTAGAGAATTAAAACTACTTTATCTAATATTAGAGTTCCATTCCGACCTTCTTTAATATTTATTGGTAATATATTCTATAGAAAAGATTAAGTTTAACTATATAAGTAAAAAGTATAAACATACATGCATTCCAATCATTTTCTTTTCACGTTCTTACGATCAATCAAACTAAACTTAAACATAAACACTAATTAAACTACAAACATACATGCAAACAGATAAATTTCAGTACTTGAAAGGTGGATCCCCGTAGGACTTTGTCTATCACAACTATTTCCAAATCAACCGTTCGTTCTGTCTCGCACTTCTCCTAACGCTTAACTGATTAGCAGTCACTCGTACAGTATCTTTTATTAACCTAATAACTAACATAACTAGATATATTACATTAAAATTAATTTGATTATGATGGAATGTTGTTGGCTATTCAAACCAACATGTTTTTGATACCAAATGGTTAAAAAATGAGCAAATAGGAGGCTGATAAAAAGTGTTACTTAAAATCGCATATTTTCACCTCTGAGAGTTGGACTAACACCATTGAAAATTTACTCTCTTTGGGACTTAATTAAAGAATTTTGCTTTTGAATAAACTTGTACCCGCATATGCATATTGAGTAGGAATAAATCACATCAGGAGAACATTTCAAGGAATGCGGCATAAAACCAGTGCAAGATGTGACATGTTCGTGATTAATTGTTTTTTTTTGTTATGCACTGCTTTAATTAGGCTCAATGGTGAAAATATGCGATTGCGACTAACATTTTTTATCAGCTTCGTATGTGCTAGACGATCCCTAAATAGGTGCGGATCTAGGGTAAGTCCAGTCAGTCGCGCGACTTACTTTCCCACCTAAATGACAAATACTCAATTTTGTCTTTAAATTTCAACAATTAACTTCCCTCAGAACTGTAATGAAAAATTCATACCATGCATGGTCCAGTTTGAGGAGTTATTTTTTTATCTGAGAACAACGGTAAATCGCAAAAAACTCGCAGAATCAGGTGGCAGGACTTGCTCGCAACCACTGGGTTGTCACGACAACTTCGGCAATCGTCGGATATACGAAATTTGAGGAAGGGTATGTTCGACACAACTTCCGGAAAACTTCGTAAGTTGTTTAACCAAGATGAATATAGTTGATAGTTCGAAGCATAAAGGTTCAAAGGACTGAACTATATATTTGTCAAATTTTAAAGCGAAGATGAGTACTTTAAAGTTTGTGTCTTTTTTGTGACATTTTTTATTTTAATCGCTCGTTTTTCTACTGTGAAATTTCGATCACAATCGTATTATTCTGAAACGTGGCGAATGCAGTATGTCATAACTAGGATAACTTGGTTCACACATCCAGCATTGAAAACAAGGGGGAATTTCGTTTGGGGCCAATCAGCGCATTTGTTTACGTTTAAGCTCTAAGCCAATCAGATCGCGTGCATCGCGATTTTACAACAAATCCATAGCTGAAAATAGGGGGTCACTTTCAAGCTTCTCTGCAAGTGGATTTTTAATATTGTTCAATGAAATTCAAATATGTTATTTTTATAAGGTTTTTCTACGAATTCCTCGCGGCGATTTTGGTTTTTTGGCGTTATTACGAAGTTATCCGGCTTCAAGCTTTGCCGTGCAAAAGCTTAAATAATGCACTTTGATTAACAGAAGCACGAAATCGCATCATCAAAAGCAAGCTAAAAAGCTACGTTTTAGTAATATCCTGTTTACATAATTATGCACGGTTTATTTCCGGCGAGAACTTGACATGTGACATGTCATTTCTTGCTGCGCGATATGACTATTGAGGACCATAATATACGACCATAATATTTGTTAACATGGAGGAATACGACCTAAAATTTGAAACAAAATTCAATAACCTACCAAACATTA